CCTCTGTGGAGCCTTCCTGCCCTCAAGCAGACCAACTGGTGTCACCTGCAAACTTACTAAAGGTGCACTCGATCCCCTCATCCAGGGGGATACTGATATTGAACAGAACTGGCCCCAGTACTGAGGCCTGGGGAACACTGCTTGTGACTGGCCGCCAGCTGGATTGAACTCCATTCACCACCACTCTTTGGGCCCGGCCATCAAGCCAGATTTTCACTCAGCTTAGTGTGGACCTGTCTAGGCCATGAGCTGCCAGCTTCTCTATGAGAATGCTGTGGGAGACTGCGTCAAAGGCTTTACTAAAATAGAGGTGAACAACATCCACAGCCTTTCCCTCATTGACTAGGCGGGTCACCTGGTCATAGAATATTAGGTTGGTTAAGCTTCATAAACCCACGCTGGCTGGGCCCAATCCCCTGGTTGTCCTGCTCATGTCATGTGATGGCACTCAACATGATCTGCTCCATAACCTTCCCTGGCATCAAGGTCAGACTGACAGGCCTGTAGTTCCCCAGATCCTCCTTCCGGCCCTTCTTGTGGATGGGCATCGCATTGGCAAGCCTCCAGCCATCTGGGACCTCCCCTGTTGACAAGGACTCCTGATAAATGATGGAGAGTGGTCTTGCCAATTCCCTCAGTACTTTAAGGTGGATCCCATCCATCCCCATAGACTTGTCCAGGTGGCATAGCAGGTCATTAACTGCTTCCTCCTGGATTATGGGGGATTTATTCTGCTCTCCACCCCTGTCTTCCAGCTCAGGGGGCTGATTACCTTGAGGATAACTGCTCTGATTATTAAAGACTGAGGCAAAGAAGGCATTAAGTACCTCAGCCTTTTCCTCATCCTTGGTGGCAATGTTCTCCCCCACATCCAACCGAGTATGAAGATTCTCCTTGGTTCTCTTTTTGTTGTTAATGAATTTGTAAAAACATTTTCTGCCATCTCCTATGGCAGCGGCCATCTTGAATTCCAGCTGGGCTTCTGCCTTTCTAATTTTCTCTCTGCATGACCTAATGAGATTCCTGTGCTATTGAGTTGCCTGCCCCTTCTTCCAGAAGTGGTAAACTCTCCTTTTTTTTTTTTCCTGAGTTCCAACAAAAGTTCCTTGTTCAGCCAGGCTGGTCATCTTCCCCACCGGTTCATCTTTCAGTACACAGGGCCAGCCTGCTCCTGCGCCTTCAAGATTTCCTTCTTGAAGAATGCCCAGCCTTCCTGGACCCCTTTGCCCTTCAGGACTGTCTCGCAAGGGACTCTGTCGACCAGTGTCCTGAAGAAGATGAAATCTTTCCCTCTCCCTTTAGCATAACACCTCAAATTATATTCCATTTCAGCGTTTACCTAAAGACAACAAAAAATTAATGAAGCACTACCTGACATGCAACTTCCTTCTTACCTCCAGGTTAAGGTAAAGTTCAGCTAAGAACAGCACAAAGGCGTGAAATTGTCTCCGAGTAGTCTCATTCCCTTTAGTAGCTTCATCTCTATTTTCATACTCTGTTCGACACCTGTAAACATTAAAACAAAATCATATCACCTGTAGGCATCCCAAAATATGCAACATGCTACTTATTTAACAGAATGCTAAGAAGTTATGAACTGAATGCTGGGAAGTATGATTTGTGAAGGAAATGAGAGGACTCCACAAAGGCACTGTGGATTTGTGTCCTTTTAGATGAATACACATGATTACATGATGATGTTTTCAAGTACTAATACATCTAAGACAGCAAAATTAATAGACCAAATTACAACAAGTAAAAACTAAAAGACAGTTACACAGTTTATACATCAGAATATGGGTCCAGGAAGTTTTAACACAGGCAGCCAAATGTCCACAGAAATACAGTGGATATACTCTGAAAGACATTTTCCCCCTTTCAGGGTGCTGGCCACATTGTCTTAGATGCCTGTGCACTCACTCAATAACTTCTTTATCTCACCATTTTAAGTGACAGTGATAAATAATGCACGGCACCAAGCTGAGTGGTGCAGTCCATACGCTGGAGGGCACGGAGGCCATCCAGAGGGACCTTAACAGGCTGGAGTAGTGGGCCTGTAAAAACCTCATGAAGTTCAACAAGGTCAAGTGCAAGGTCCTGAACCTGGGTCGGGGCAACCCCAAGCTCAAATGCAGGCTGGGCAATGTGTGGATCGAGAGCAGCCCTGAGGAAAAGTACTGGGGGTGCTGGTGGATGAAAAATGGAAGAGGAGCCAGCAAAATGCACCCACAGCCCAGAAGGCTAACTGCATCCTGGGCTGCATGAAAAGAAGTGTGACCAGCAGGTCAAGGGAGGTGATTCTGCCGCTCTACTCCACTCCGGTGAGACCCCCCCACCTGGAGTGTTGTGTATGGCTCTGTGGTGCCCAGACACGGACCTGCTCAAGTGGGTCCAGAGGAAGAATACGAAGATGATCAGGGGCTGGAGCACCTTCCCAATGAGGACAGGCTGAGAGAGTCGGGTTTTTCAGCCTGGAAAAGAGAAGGCTCCAGGGAAACCTTATAGCGGCCTTCCAGTACCTGAAGGGGGCCTACAGGAAAGGTGGGGAGGATGAGTACTGATAGGATTAGGGGCAATGGCTTTAACCTGAAAGAGAGTAGACTTAGATTATATACTAGGAAGAAGTTCTTCACTGTGAGGGCAGTGAGGCACTGGCACAGGTTTCCCAGAGAAGCTGTGGCTGCCCCCTCCCCGGTAGTGTTCAAGGCCAGGCTGGAATCTGGTCTAGTGGAAGGTGTCCCTGCCCATGGCAGTGGGGTTGGAACTAGGTGATCTCTAAGGTCCCTTCCAACCCAAACCATTCTGTGATTCTCCAATTTAGATATAAATACAAATACAGAGGATTAAGATGACATGGCAGTGAGGTAATTTTTCTAGTATTCAACAACTGTGCCAAAAATATACAAGTTTACAGAGCAGTTAAAAAGCAGAGTTAAAAAATATGAGATAAAGTGAAAACCAGACAACTTCTAATGTATTCTCAATGTTTATGTAACAGATTAAGATGCAGCGGAGAAATTGAAAAATCTAAGGAGCTGAAATACAAAATCCAAGGTAGAAACTTGGGCTGATAAACAGAAGAGGAGGTCTCTGTGGTCATATTGTTAGGCTGCTAATGCCCACCCACCCCACCCCTCAATTCCATCAATATTAGTAATAATAAAAAAAAAAAAGCAACCTTAAATTCATGGCTTCAGGGCACTAAAAAGAACATTATATATTGGGTTGGTTTAAATAACAGTAACCAGATAATCCAACATTAACAATGATTTCCTCTATGTTCAAGTTACAAACATAGTTAAAAAACCAGAAGACAAAAGTCATAATTTTGATAGCAAAAAGGCTCATCTGCTTTGGGACAAGGGAAAAAAAATATTTTCAGCATCTTCATAAGGTACCACTCCCAATAAAAGACCATCAGAATGCACTGCTGTTAAAGTTTATTGTGATTTTGCTCCTAAACGCAGGTAGAATAAGCAAAACTTTTAAAATAAGAAGCAAGCCTGAAGCTTAGAAAGCTCAAAGTCCTTAAAGAAAAAAAGGCTGATTTCTAAAGAATTCTGAATTAGAGTGTACTAGTCCTTCAAAAGTCATGCAGTAAGATTTAAAAGGAAATATACCCATTTAAAAAACGTTGCATTTTTGTCAACTACAAAGTCTAATCTAACCGTAAGCCCCCAGAACTCTATAGTAACTGAAAACCGAAGAAATTTATCCTTCTGGATTTTATGTATCTACTTCACAGATACAAAGTCAGTTAACTGATCAATGAATAAGCAACTCCAGCTGGAAAAGTAATTAAAAGAAAAAACACAATGAAGTAAGTCCTGGCAAGAGTCATAGGACAAGGACAGTACATGTACGTTCATTTAGTATACTTTTAAAGTTGACTAGCTTTCAAGTTTACCCTGTAATTTGGGATCAGCCTAAGATACTCTGTTTAAAAGAGCCTACAGAACTGCGAATGAAGTCCTATTTCCATATTTAAAATACATGTATTTGATATCCAGCATGTACCTGTACTTTAATGATCCTCAACCTAAACTTCTACTGTAAATACATACCTCTCTGCACACAACGTTAAGAGTTACATACAAAATAGGAAGACATGTAACCTGAGAAAGTAATAGGCTTAAAATGACGTGCTGATACTGACCTTTGAAGTAACAACTGTCGGAAGTTCCCGCTTTGTGGACTAATGGTTAGATGGTGAGATAGATAGTTACACAGCCGTGCTCCCATGTAGGAAAAATTTGGAACAGATGTGGCCTTTCAAAATAAAAGTGGAAAAATAAATTTTTCATAGAACTAATGATTGGGCTATCAGGAAATATCTTTAAAATATTTTTTGAAAACTGTGTTTAACACAGTTGATTAGACAACTTAAGAGCAGAAGATTAGTAATTACTATTTGTCATGTTAATTTTTGCATCTCAAACACTTGGCTATATGCATTTCAGCACTTAAAAGGTCATCATACGGTGATTTTGTGACTTTAAGAAAACCACCACCATTATGCCATGTGTCCTCAACTGTACTTCTCCATTATAATCTACAACCAAAGCATGTCTGAAAGTCACCTACGAACTGTTTACAACTTTTCAGGGGCATGCACTCTTTCGAGGAGCAATGATTACATTAAAACAAAATATAAAAAAGTTGCCTTCATTCTGACTAAGAGCTGTTTATCCCAGAATCTATTTTTGGCAATAGTGAATGCCCAGAGAAAGAGCAGAAGAACATGGCAAGTAAAGATGCATACTTTCTCCTGTACATGCTCCAGCAATTTGCAGAATAGCAAACCCCTGATTCAGAGGTTAAAATTGTATCATTACAGCTAATAGCTCTTAATGGCTCCTTTTTTCTAAAAAAAAAAAAAAAGTCCTGTTACTGTTGGAACACTTACACTTGTCATCTAAAAACAGGTGGTAGCAATGAAATTCCACAATGTAAGTTATGCACTGTCTGAAAAATATTTTGCTTAAAAGCTGATACTTTTTTCCACCTCTTGAAATTCTTGAAGTAATTGGGAATTCAATAGTGTCTACATTCAATCTCTCATAGAACTTAATGCAGAACATCCCCTTATTTTGTCAATTTACTACTGTTCACTTGCTTTGAACTCTCTTTAACAACACCTAAATTTGAGATTATTTCTCAGATAAATCTCAGTGAAAAGAGGTTATGAAAAGCATCAGCTCTACTAAAAAGAAAACAGGGATACTAAGAATTCATTAAACTTCTCATACAGCTTTATCATCTTTGAACATTCCTTTTACATCTTGATCATCTATCAGCACTATAGATGTGCTTGCACACTTCTGCTTCTAACATGTCTGAAGAAAGTATCTTGCCATTAGCATGTCAATGCATTATAGCTAGTTACCTTCTACAGTCAGAGAAAAACATGTACTCAATGTAACTGTACTATGTGCATAAAGTCACGGGAAAAAACTGAAGTGTCTTTGGAAGACAGAAATTTAATTAAGATAATCAAATATAATCTAGTTTCCAGTAAGAGGCATACAAAATAGCTAATGAGCTTTTTGGTGCTTTGGTTCAATCAGTTGCTTGGAGAAGAAGAGGTGCCCTCTTTTATATAAGGCAAAATACATTGCTTAAATTAAAGCTCTCTTTCCTAACAAAAAAACCTCAAACTAAACACACACATACAAATTCTTCAAACCTCATCTGTATTTTCTAAACATTATCCTCCTAATTAGTTGGTCTGTATTTGTGGTTGCATCGAATACTGGAACAATTAAATTTTAGGCATTATGACCTGGTATAAAAAAATCCACACCTTCTTAATAACCAATCACTAAAGTGCAGTATCATCTTCCCTGAATTATTGTTGCTGGCAATCCCAGTTTATCTCAGACTCAAAAAAGTCACAATCCAATCATGGATCTACCAATACATATCTTGAGAAATATTAGTTGCTATAACTACAAAATGGTCAAGATTCTTAAGCTATGAAGTGAGAGTGATCAACTTTCGGAAAACAGGAGAACTGGTACTTTACTCTGTCCAGAGAAATAAATGTATTAAGAACACAGGGAAGTATATAGTTAACAGAGATAGGCTAGAATACTTGACACACATGAAGGGAAGACTGCACAGCACTCTGGTTTCCTTCATTTTAGTCTTCTTCCTTCATAAACCTAGCATCTGTAAGTCTGCCTCTTGGGTTAAATTAACATCACCAAAGTAGATGCTTATAAACATACTTCAGCAACTTTAATTGTTTTGTGATAAGCCTGGAAACAAACTTGAGCCTCTGGCCAAGACAGAAGAATAATAAGCACAGTTGATTTACACTCAAACACTATCCTATCTCAACATACAACAAAACTAAAATGTGATGCTTTTGGATACTAGCACAGCTGTTTTGTGCTAAGTTTTATTTCCCACATACTTTCAGACTGGTAACACTAAACACTTCTCAGCTGAGGAAGGCACAGCCAACCCCACACTGGACTTGTTTTTAAATAGGGAGAGAGAGGAAGAGGCCACATTAAAGACCTTAAACAAGAGCCAATATGTTTAACATACATGAAGTTAAAAATGGGAAAAATTTCTCCTTTTTCTGGTCCAACAGAGTTATAACAAATATGTTAATTTTTTTTTTAACTATCCTCCATGTGTTCAAATAAAGGATGGGAAAATGACGCTGACAAACACAGCATAGACAATATCTAAATTGTTCTGAATTAAATGTGCATCAATTCTGCGTGATAATAAGAAGAGACTCTACAGCTCTCTACAACGACCAACCAGTCACGCAGTTGCTACATACGCCAGATTAAAATATTCTGCAGTAGCTGAACTTAAAAGGTGATTTCAGTGTTTGCACTCTTCAAGGTAGAATTTGAAAGCAACCAACGCAGGAAAGTGAGACACCCAATGTAATAAATAGCAAGCACAAGTGTGACTTCATTCTCTGCAGCGACCCCAAAAGACAGTAACAGCCACTCATTTGCCAAGCAACACATATTAAGCTGTTCTTTCCAATGGCTCCCCCAATTAGTACAGAGTTCAACTCAAGGTCTCTGTCCTCATTTCCACAGCCATCAATGGGACCGGACCTAGTTACCATTAGACAAGCTTTCCTTCCCTCCAGTTATACTGTTCTGAAATAGGTGTATTCCAAATGAAGAAGAAAGCCTGCCAATAAAGGAGCATTTCCCAAAGGGTGATGTGTACAGTAGGCATAAACTTAATTTTTTAAAATACGAAGGAATTAAATGTATCTTAGTATTATGAATTTTTTTTTTTTGCAGGATACAATAAAAACGTACAACTCTTAACATTGCTTAAGAGTTTCTTCAATCTCCACTATATAAATACAGCAATTAAAATATAATTCCCTTTATTTAAGTGCTGTAATTGCAACTCTAGTATGGAGCTGAACTCTCTCCAGGAGATCCAAATACACAACAAAGGAAACAAGAGTCGATTGGGGAAATTTATCAACCATCCAGGTATCCCACACTTGAGCTACTATTTCAATTTAGTGAGCAAAAAATCATTCGCTGTATGTTTCAGTCTAAAAAGAAAACTTCAAATCATTAAGATCCCATGTAGATACAATTACGTAACAAATACTGGTATGCATATCTCGGACACTAGGTAACAAAGACATAATAGCCATGTTGTATGACAGAATACACCGGCTACCTGCTGATAGATGAGTTCAACAAGTTCTTGTAAAGCTTCATCGGCAGTGACCCAGCCATTCAGTGTTTCAGCAAACTGCTCTATTTCAGTTTCAAAACAACCTGGTTGCTCGGTGAGGTGATTTAGGAAGTCTTGTACATACTCTGCCAAAGTCAGATAGCCATCATCTCTATCTTCAAAGGAAGAATCCTACAGCAGTGAAAGAATTTAAAAAGAACCCAAAATCATGTTGTTACACTTACTATGTCCAGAAGTAACCATAGTCATGAGTCCTTGCATACTTGATAGTGATCTTTATTACATGGTTCACTTCAAGAGTTTTAGAGAGCATAGACCTCAAAGCATCAGAAAGCTCCATTAGTTCTACCACTTTAAGAACCAGGTAACATGTTTTTACAGAAATTAGGCTCTCCCAGCAAAATACATCAAAAGACACATTAAAAAGAAATCAGTTTGCCAAGTTGGGTGCAAGATTAACTAACAAACTAATAAGTAAGTACATAGGTTAGGAATAAAACTACCAAACTGAGGCTCTACATGCATTCCTGATATGCACACAAACTGTGCTGCAGATATGTAACTGTAGAAGGAAGAATAACCGAAAATTCGAAACAAAGTATTCTGGGCTTACACAGTGTGTATACCGTTCCAAAAAATGCATAAGGGCGAGAAATTACAGAAATACAATAAATACAATCTAGTGTTCTGATGTAGAAAGTATAGCCAGGAAAACTGATCAAGTCAGCAAATTTGCACCTCTTGGCAATGGATGAAACATTACAAGGCATGAAATGAAACTATTCAAATGCTGTTGCATTAATTTGGAGCTACTGAGTTTAAAAACCAGACAGTAAACACACCCGCTCCCTAAAGAAAGGATGAGCTAGCACAATACGACTTCATCGATGTTTATGCTCCTGCTGATAGAACAGAAAGCTGCTAAGTTTGTCCATTCAGAAATGAATGTATGTAACAGTCTCTAAAGTCAATACTGTTCTGGATGATTATAATGCTAGTATATGAGGGGAATAGCAAAGAAAGCAGCACACTTTGTGATGTCACTAGCAATAGCACACTACAAATAATTCACTTTGTCACCCCACAGAAAGATTGTGAAAAGCATCTCCTAGATTTCAGAAGTGCAAGCAGGAGCCTGAAGAGGGACTGTTAAAGAAATTACTTTAATTAGCGATTCAAGACATAAGGGTAACACTGAATATCAGAATTATCAACTGATCTACTATTTCAAAAGAAAAAGATCTAAAATATATCTACTGTAATGAAAAATTGAGCTAAAAATGATGCAACGCTTTTTCTTTACTTAGTGGACAAAAATACATTATAAAGCTTATAATCACATTCTCCGTATCTCCAACACACCTCCCTAAATGAGGGTATGTTATTTACTCTCTGTCTTCAAAATGCCTCAGTCTCTACTCTACTGTGAGGCAACACGGATCTGTGGAAGACTTATCTGGATATGAACTGTGGAGAAAGACAGATATACATTGGTGAAAATAAAGTACTCACATTAATTTCATGACCTGTGAAGAAAGTGTGGGGAAAACCACAGATTTTCCAACATTCTTCAAAGACCCATGTCATAAGGGGATACAGCTTAAGGTAATGGGGGACACATTAGTACAACAGAAGAAAAACTAGAAATGTTTAAGTAACTAGAATGTTTGCCCAGTGAACTATACTGAAGACAGTTACTTAATGTTGCCCATCAGAAACAGGAAAAAAAAAAAAAAAGGGTTTATGGAAATGGTAGCAAGTTGTAACTACTCATGAGGATAAAGCCTCAATGAACTGATCCGATCTGGTTTTGTTTTGTGCTGGGGATTGGAGCAGAGGAACTTCAGAGGTCCTTTCCAGTCTAAAGTATTCTATGATTTTAATGCTTTGGAGCATGTAAAGACAAAGAATAAAAGCTAACAGGCCTACGTGTAACTTGCTAAATATTCTATATCTTTAAAGGAACTCTACTTTTACTAAGCAATTTCAAATAGCCTAGGAAAAGTTCTGTACAATAAACTTAAACTATTTTGTTCCACGAGACCACGACATTATTGTGCAGCAATTGCAGCTTACCCACAATACACCTGAACTAGCACCTCTCCAAACAACCTGTTTGAAAAACTCTCCAGCCAGGTTGCAGGGAATGCAATTGCTGTAACTAGTACAAGAGGCTGCTCTGACAGCCATCAGGTTTTTAAGAGATACTCATTCAGCAGGGGAAGGTGGCTTCCTCTCACACTCACCCGGTAAGAACTCAACCTTGCATGAGAATGTCCTTGTTTTGGAAGAGGCCCCAATAACATTTGGTTTATAATGAAGAGGCTAACATTAAGAGTTATTAGCTATTTAGCTTCATTTTAAACAGAACGAACCACTTTGAGTTAGAATGTTGTGTGATTTAGTACGCTGTTTGCTTAGCCTTACTTAGCACGAGTAGCCAGATTTGCTGAAGCCTTCGGCGGCAAGCTGTAAACTTTCACCTAGATCTACTGGATGTGTATGGAGCTTGCATCCATTCAAGCAAGACAAGGCCTCCAGAGTCAGCACAAACCTGAAGGTAATGAGGCTTCAAGGCTGCCACCATCAACAGCAGGTGCAACTAGCCAAAGTAAGGGCCTGCCTGGAGACAGTGGAATAGGAATCCAGTAAGGGGTCAGAAGGTGTCAGAGGATCTGAGCCCAGGACCAGCGTTGGACCAAAGGGCGTATGAGCAGCACGTGAAGGGTGGCTGCACAGTTTATAAGGGTATAAATGCCCAGGCACTTCTTTGTTTGGGGTCTCTCTCTGTGGGCTGATCCTGCTGCTGTACCATTCTATTACATTATTTATTTTTGTACAATTTGATACCTGAAACTCTGCTTCAGGAAACGTAGCGTTTGGACCGTATTTCTTTAACAGCTAAACACAGAGGCTAAACTCTGTACCATTCATACCCGTACTAAATATGCAACTCCAAAGACAGTCTAGGTTTTAGTAACTATGCCAGGGAACAGAACGAACAGAAAGAAAAATGAATAATTCAAACATTATAATAAAGTTGTATATTGCTAAATTAGTAACACTCGATACTTTAAGAAACTAATTAAATTTAGCTCAGTAACTTCTAGGCCTAAACCTCTTGCATTTCTCATTGCCAGATTCTAGGATTTAACAGAGAAGACAGCACCATGTACTGTATCAACTGAAGGAAAACAAAGCAAATTCCTCTTGATTATTTTTAAACAGCAGCTGTCTAACAGTAGGCTATAAGCTTACACATTCATTATAAATTTATGATTCAAAGCCATGAAAGTCAACTAGAAATTCTGCCTTGATTTCAATGATTTTTCAGTCAAGCCAACATTGTCTAATCCTTCTCCTTTATATTTGATAGCTATAGGATGGGATCCGGGATTATTTGCAACAGGAGAGTCACCAATTTAAAGATTATACCTTTGCCTCTCTTCCACTAAGGGTCAGTTCATGAGTTTCAATACATGACAATGAAAAGGCTAAATAGATACTAAAACTGCTCAGATTTACATAAGGATAAAAATCAAAGTCTATAGAAAAGATCCATGAGCCAAGTCTGCTCTTGGGCTCTGTTTCTGTACATGTGCTAATTAAGTGGTAATTATACCTGATAAGTATTCACAACATTTCCCCTTAGGAACTTAATCACCAGTAATTTATCATTGATTTGATTTCTCTTCAGACTTCTTAGGAATAAGCTTTTTTCCACCCCTTCAGATCATATGCACTGAACAAGTTTATTGTAAAGTTATTAAAAACAAGTACAAAGACTGTTGCATATATACAAAATCATCTACCCATGCTGCATGAGTGTGACACCCTCATGCTTGGCTGAACATGTAAAACCAACACAAAGGCTGCTTAGGCTCCTTTTGGACATTAAGTTGAAAAAACCCCAAAAGAAAACATGGGGTGGGGGGATTCCACCTAAGTTAATACAAATCTCACTCGTAAAACTATGAAGTGAGAACATCATTATGCCCTTCTGATGGAGCAACAGCTGTATTATTGCCATACACCCATGCCAGAGAACAAGTCTGACGTTTCCTGTGACCGATTCTACTGCAGACGTCCACAACTTCCAATGAGATGGCCAGCCGTATGCAAACAGAGAATGCCAGAGAGGTCTCTCTTCTCTGAAGTCCTGGTAAAGTTTTTTTGAAAATTCTAGTACGCCTCGTATGCTGTACCATTAGACTATCTTCACTGGTAACTGATAGATCCGATACGCAAACCTAACTGGAAATTAACTAATCTAGTAATCAAATGTTATATGGACACACATAATAGTTACAATAATGTTACAATCAAACAAGAAATCAACACTTTATTTTCAAAACAGTAAATGCTTAACAGGAAGCCTACTGTGTACTTTGTAAGAGAAATGTGAGATTTTAGATCTAAAAATTCCAGGGAACATTATAAACGATAGCTAAAGCATTAATTTTAAGTCAGAAAGAGAAGATCTTCTCAAAACTTTGTTTTTATTTAAATTTTAAAACTCATCATCAAAATCTATGTAATAGTAAACTGTGTGCTAAATTTCTTATTTTTAATCCAAGTGAGACCAATTTATGAAATTAATTCAGTTATTAAAGTAAAAAAACCAAAAACAACCACCCCTAAATCTTCTAATAGTGAAGGACAAAAGTCTGAAACACCACTATTCTATGGCTAGTATATTCTGGTTAGATTAAAGTCCCTGCAACATACTTCCAAATAAATGTTCTAGGTTTTCCTAGCTTTTAAGAGGTATTTTTATTAATAGATGAGTCACATTCATAGCATATTCCTACAACATAGCAACCAAAAACTCCCACGTGCCTGTGTGCTTTTTGCAGAAAAGCTGAAAGGCAACACTGCTCGCCTCAAAACTTTGTAAATATAAGTATGCATTATGTGTGCCATTCTGAATAGCTTTTTATTGGTCTTGAAACCAAAATACTTTATTTATAGAAAACACGTAACATGTACTGGGGCAAAGCAGTTATTTTCCCCCTAGATTATCCATTCACTGAAGCATGTTTGTGTTGGCATTTTAACAGTTGTATATTGGCTATGGGCTTGTATTATCCAGGACAGTAATTCTATTCAGTTAGCTGGCAAAGCTGGCAACATTAAGACAACCCCAATTTTACCGGTGAGGAAAATACTTCAAAACACCATATTTAGCATTCAAATTCAGTATTTTTCTGTAAGTTACTCAAAATCCATTTGTTTCAATATAATTTTTTTTTTATCACTTGATTGCATTTGTAAAAGTAATAGTTCCCACGTGTTCATATACAGTACTAGAGTTTGGCTGCTTGTGTAACAAAAGGATATTCCAGGAATTCACATAGATCTTCCCCAGAGTAGAATTACCAAAGCAGTAAGACAATGGAGTAGAAAGTAAGTACCACCAACTTTTATTACATGATGCATCTACAATATCGATCTGAGATCACCCTTGTTCTGGCTGCAAATACATTTCTTATTAGGTATGCGGTAGGGAACTGCTACCTTTTTGCCCTTTGGCAATTCCTTTACCACTGAAGGAACTAAGACACATTGAGTTAGGCAGTCATGGACAATAATACCCAAGTACGCTTAGGAAAGGTAAAGCCTATGCTCAGATAAGCTAAAGTTCAACCTTCTTCCCACACTTCAAAAACCTCTGAAATCTGCATAAAAGTGCAGCTAAGCCTTTACTTAAAATGCAGGGTAGATACAACTACAACAGAGGCAGTCGCCAAAAAGACAGCTTACTCTCATGTTGGGCGTAATCAATGCTTGGTGTAATCAACAAGGAATGTGGTTATCTGCAGCAAGCTTTAGCAAGATACCCCACACTACCATAATATTCACCCACTATCACTTAACATTCTGACTGTCTCTAGAGGTTATTGTCAGAATTTTTGGAATCTCTTCAGCAAATGCAACATTCAAGTTTATCAAGATCTCAAGAAAACACTGTTAATTTGAATATAACTAAATTATAATTATTACAATTAAAATTACAATTAAAATTATAAACATAGTATAATAAATACTAAGAAGAGAAGATAAACACTCACTATGAAGTTCTGACTGAAGTTCTGGTGGTATCCTGATGGATAAAACTCAGGTGCTTTAACAGACAACTTTGACGTTACCACCATAGCCACCTGAGGTTCAGCCACATCTGGTCCAGAATCAGGAGCTGAAACTTTATCTTGTGATTCCGATGGAACTCCCGTCTGTTGCAGGTGTTCTGAAAAGTTTTTGTTAACAGCTTTCCTTAGAAATGGCTAAACTACTATGCATTCACATATGAGTACACACAGAATACGTAATTTTTTTGGACTTTAAACACAGTTCTAACTATAAATATACTTCCGCGTTAACTTCAAACACATTATTATTATTGCTTTTCTTAAACATAGATAAAGTTTTCTCTTTAGCAAACTCTAGATATCTTTCTGCATCACAGAAAGTAAACACAATGTTCATGTAAAGATGAGCCAAAAAAAAAAAAAGGGAGAGAGAGGAAAAAAAAAAGAGCTCTCTCCTCCCCATTAAAATATTTTTTCTAAAAGAGCTAACATGAGAAACTAGTAAATCTGTTTATGGTATGTTTGCTCACCGTGTGGTATTTTCATAAATTTCAAATACAAATGCAAGACTCTGAAGGTCAATAAACGGAAGACATCACTAATTTTTAACAACACTAACTTTGAACATAATCCCCAAAGACACTTAACTATAATTGTTCTCATACACCATTTGCCAAAAAATACAATGAAACTGTGTTTTTAAAACCATATTTTTCACATTATCCAAATGTATCTTTATAGACTAGCTCCTAAGTTTATTGAAAACAGAACCTGATACCTACCTGAAAAAGCTAACCAACAAACAATGCCTTGTGTTACTGTTGGGTTGGGTTATTTTTTGGCAAACCGTTAGGCTAGCGTTCTTCATCAAGGGGAAGGCTAAGACCATCTGTGGCCAGATTAACAAACGGATAAAATGCACATACAGACGTGAGGGCACAGAAAGGGGCAAACGGACAGAGAGGTGCTGCAAGCGGCTGCAATACAACATCACACCTTTATATGGGCACAGGCCCATCACCCAGAAATACGACCACGCTCCTGAGGAAAGGCGCAGGTGCCCCTACCCAGCTCATCTCCATGCAGTGCCGAGAGGGGCCGGACAGGTGACCAGGGGGCGCAGAGCAGTGGCCCTCAGGCCGCAGCGACCTCTCAGCCCCTGGGTGTGGGCGTGCGAAAATGGACGCTTCCCCGCGGCCAGGCCGGAGAGAGGTGAGGGGAAGGCCCGCGGCCCCAGCCTCAGCGGGATGGCGAAGGGAGCGGGG